TTATTTGCTTGTGTAATTGAGCGCGGTGTCAGATGTCTATATATTTTGAGTTCTCTAGGAATCTTAGCCAGTGATTGGCACTAAATGAAGTATACTCGGCGCGATTTATTCTCTAACACTATCTTGACTCACTGACAGGGATATCGAGTTCACATTGAAAAGTAGTGTACTGGGTGATCAGGCCAATCCACTACCATCAGTGTCTCTGCGGGCATCTTTCACTATCCCTTATTAGTACTATAACGCGGTTGTTGATGTAGCATGTAGATGTGGTTGCTTCCTTATCTGACCCTCATGTATACTCACGATTAATGATGTAGATGGGGTCTATCTCAATTATCTGTTTACACCTATCCAGGAGTGAGTTCTTCTTCTAATTTACTGATTCACTCCAATAGCTATGTCTTTCTAATTCTGATGTGTTACTGCGATAGTAGAGATGGAGTAGATTTCTTACTAAGACACACACATATAAATACTTGTTTTTGTGCGGCCTTATTCTAACTCTACGAATGATACAAACAATCCATGTAATTGTCACTATAGGTAGGTTTCGAGTAGGGACTCCCCCAGCATTGCGTAGAAACTGTATATAATAGCAAGTGGGATAGTACGTGCTATCGAAAGAATCCAATCAATTTACCATATTAGATAATTGGATCTGTAGCGCCTGAATGCTTTAATGATTAATTCCTTCGAAGCCTAGGGTTAAAAAAGAATTTATTTAGCCTTTATTTACTCGCGCGTCATAGTCTTAAGTGGTGCCTCTAAGGGACTTAAAGCCCTAACCCTAAGCTCTGATACCACTTTGGTCCACGAACTCGTTTCCGTGGGCCCGGACCGGCAACTAGGGCCGCAGGTAAGCTTAAAGGCCCCGAGGCCCGTAGTAAGCCCTGAAACAACTAAAACTTTACCAGCTTCAATATAATATTGAAACATTCAGCCATATAATTATATTGTTATCAATACACGCTAATTGTATACATTTCTACAACTGCGGAGTCACTAACTAATAGACCATACATAGATTTTTTATACATGCTAGATACCTAGCAAAAATATTTACGGTCTAGGAAAATTTTCTTCTAACTCTGGCAACGAAAGATACATGAGCTTAGTCGAACTAAAGAGAAACTTTCTTCCTGAAAATTAAACAAGATAAGTGAGCTTTCTAAATGAGTAAACTTAACTATTTGCACAACACACACCTTCACACAGATATATATAATATAATATATATATATTCTATATGATATATATCATCTTAAGTCACCGAACTAGTATATGCTCACGCAGCCAGTCAACATCAAAATGGCATGTCACCAGCACTCAAGCAAAACAATTCACTTCAAAATAATCACATCACGTTGGAAATTAGTCCAGTGGAGTCACCGACCCCCGATGAGCCTGTCCCCCAACAATGGCTCATCTCTCACATGTGCACCAGGGAGCCGATCCCCCATACTGGACGACCCCGGCTCCTAATGCCTCACTTACGCAGCCTCCTCATTGTTTTTCTATCCTCTCTTTTCTTTTTCCATACCAACAGGAGGCAACGCCGGTCAAATCTCCATCAAACTCTAGATTTCATCAGGCGCTCCACAACAGGAGGCCACTCTTAGCCTTGCGCCTGCGATCAAATCTAGATTATCGAGGTGCCGCCCCAAATAAAGAAGCCAACCTGTGGTTAACTAGTAACGAGTAAAACAGAAGGTGCACACGGGGGCGCCGATCTCGAACATTTACCCTGGCCTGACGGGTCCAGTTTCATAATTCAATCATAATCCGGACCCTATGCTTTTTCGACCGTCTTCACAAACCATGGTGGACGACACTTCATCCCAATTCCACACAATCAAAGCAGCGGCAATATCACATCACAATTAATCACATTCCGCAAGTCAAAATGCAAAACATATTGATCGATTTAGACACTGTAATGCAATCGCACTTAAACATCCCAAAAAATCATGTAAAATAAATAAATAAAGTAAATTAGTAATTGCAAATAAACAATAATGATAAATAAAATAACAATAATAACAAATAAGGATGAATAAATAAGTAAATACTAAATAATGAAAATCTATAATAAAGATAATAAATAATAGAGCAACCAGATTTATTATGTAACCGAAAATACTAGAACTACTCTAAGTAAACATGTAATTATGTTATTAATTAAAATTTAGTCTAGTTTCTGTCAAATTTTCGGTAGCACCTCCCCTAAAATCGGACTATCTACCTGCTCACATATACAATATCTTTACAAACTAATTCTAATAATATCCATATGAGATCATTTATTAAGTCATTAATTAATTAAATTATTAGCTTTACGGTAACTAATTTGTTAAACAGCTAAAACATATTTTAACCATAACTAATTATAACTACTACCTATAAAAATTCAATTTTTTTATATCAATATCGAAAATGGCTAGGCCTCCCAAATCTTAATTTATCGAATTTCGATTCTAGTCGTTAACCAACTAAAATTCGCCTTATTTCTCTTATGCACAATCGGCTAGTTTTAATCTAATGGTTATCTAATTGACTAATTAACTAATTCTAATTTATTCTTTCTCCTCAAATCACCTAATCATAATATTAATCATGTAATTTATTTGACAATGTTCTAAACTAATTTACAATTACATTATTCTAAAGTCCTAAACCAGTTAACAAATTATGTTCGCTATCCAAATACGCACACTAATCAATCTAATTTATTTACAAAAGACCATAAATGTTCATATATTTTTAAGTTAATCCAATAAGTTAATGTCTTGTTATTCAATTTAGTCTAGTTAATAACTCAATTAAATTCATTAATCAATTAATGCTTTATATATAAAAATTGAGAATTAAGTCTTAGAACGTACCCATTGGGAATCGGGCGACGATTCCATGATTAGCGGGAAGAGAAGAGGATTCTGTCTCTCGGGGCCTCGCCGGAGCGCCGCCGGCCGGTCACCTGACCGCCGCCGCCGACCGCCGTGCACGGTGACCGCCGTGCACGGTGGCCGGAAACGTCAAACCGCCTAGAAATTCACGACGATCACACTACTCGACTCAAAATTCACCGAGGATTCCATTTCTACTGTTAATTTCATGGAATCGGTCCTCTAATTGGCTGGATCGGGTCCGACAGCCGCTGCACCTCCTCCGCACACGACCACTTCTCAAACTTCGCTGAAATCGCAAAATGATAGAGGGAAATTACTCACAGCGTCGTGGATAGTTGATTGGCGCCTGTCTCCTCCACTGGGATCGCCAGAAACCGCGTAGATCGCCGTAGATGGAGAAGAGCGACTGTCGCGAGGAAGACAGCTCCATCCGCGCCGCTACAGGCCCGATCGACGTGAAGGGAGGCTAGAATCGTGACCACCGGCGACAGACGAACCGATCGCCACTCTATTCCGATCGAGTATTCCGTCGAGTGGTGGCCGGTGAAGCGTAGCCGGCAAGGGGAGAGGAGCCTGTCACGCCATGGAGGAGAAAAGAAGAAGAGGAGAAAGAAGAAGGGAGGAAGGGGGGGGGGAGGGAAAGGAAAAGAAAAGAGAAAAGGAAAGAAAGTGGCTTCTAGACCATTCCGGTTCGATTTGAACCGGTTTGGTCTGATTTTTGTTTGGTTTTCGAGTTTTTTCACTCGATTTTTGGATTATTCGTGGGGTTTTCGACAATTCAAATTGATTCCGGGTCCAATTCGATTTATTTAATTATTTTAGTTGGGTCATAAAACATTTCTTCAACTTACTTTCTAATAATACAACAATAATAATAACACTAAGTTAATTCAGGATAATTAGTTTATAATAGTAGCATTCCATTATTTTCCATCAAACGAAATTTCCAGACAGTCTGCTATTTGGCCTTGCCAATTCAAATTCAGGCTCAAGTTAAACTTTCTCGGTCTTAACAACCCATACTATCAAAAATTTGGGTTTTTGATTTAATAAAAATTCTAAAGTTTCGAAAATAAAAATTCAGGGTTCGATGAGACTATTTTTTTAAAGAAAAATAATTTCTGATATTTTCAATTAATAAAAATTATTTAAAAAGTTGAAACTTAGAAAAGAAAAATATTTAAAACAACACAATAATTATAAAAAAATAACAGTATAATTAAACAAAATATTTCATCAAAAAAATTATAAGATCATAAAAATATTTAATTATATTGAATATTTAGTTTAAAATATTTATTACTTCTCAATTATATTAATTTGATTTAAATAAAAATATTAATTTGATTTAAATAAAATATTTCATTATGTACAATTTTATTTGATTTAAAATAATTTTTTATTTTGGGAAAAAATGGTTTTCTTTTTTTAAAAAAAAAAACATGAGCTTTTGATTCCTTTGGTAGAAGCTGACGAAGGTAAATCATACAAAAAAATTGATTTTTGATCAAATTGTATTTACTTATTAGTTGAAAGGATACATTTAACCTTTTTTTTTTTTTTTTTTTGAGAAAGGGATAAATAAAGGGATAAATTTAACCTTATTTCATAAAATTATGTTAAACCTTTAACCCTAAACCCTAAATTTTAGACTCTAAAATCTTAAAACTCAAACCATATGTTCTTTGTGAAACTCTAAAATCCTAAATTCCCAAAAACTTAAACTCTAAACCCAAAACCCTAAAATATAAACCCCTCAATCCTAAAATCCTAAATTCTAAAATCTAGTTTATATATTATTCAGTCTAGATTTTTTTTTCCTAGAGTATAATATTTAAAAAAAAAAATGATGATGATGTTAATAAAATAATAGATAAATGAGAAGATGTTTGGGCTAGTTGAAATGGGCTCAACAAGAAAGATAATTTAGAAAATAATAATAAATAAATGAGTCGATTTCGGCTAGTTCCACCCATGATTTAACTGGGCTTTAGTCTAGAGGTTGAAGACGCTCTTCCATTTTATTGGCCCAATTTCAGATCATTACTTTTGAATTTTATACATGGCAGTATTTCACACTAGGAAGAGCCTAACGGTCATATACACGAACCCCACGGTTCGAAAATTGATTTTCTTCATCATGAAGATAAATAGACAAGACGAGCAGAGAAAGCAAAATTTTGATAGATAGAGAGTGATTCGATATGAAAGAGATGGAAAAGGAAAACGAGATAGAGATACAAGAATCACCACTTCGGCCCATTTTCTGTCTAAAAAGGAAGGTAGATATGAAGCCATTTGACGAGATTTATGATTGCTTTATTCTTGATTTTGATCCAGGCGAGCCACTTCACTCTATCTCCAACCTCTCTCTTTCCACCGATGATGAACTCTCTATTGTTGCAGAAAGAGGCCAGGTTTTTTCTTTATTTTAACATTCTTTTTTCCATGATCTGAATTGGGTTTTCCCTTTTTAACGATGTAAGTTTTTTTTTTTTTTTTATTTTAACATTCTTTTTTCCATGATCTGAATTGGGTTTTCCCTTTTTAACGATGTAAGTTTTTTTTTTTTTTTTGGGTTTAAATTTGTATCTACAGGTTGCTTGCAGAGATTACCCACATCCAAGGCATCTTTGTCTCAAATACCCATTTGAGAAAACCCCACATGAGAACTATTGCCATCTGGTATAACTTGAATCTCCATTTTAATAAGATTGAATAAAATTTGGGTCTTTAATGCGTTTCCCTTTTGATAGGATAGCTTGAACTTGCTTAACAGATTGTAAGACGATTTATAGTTTGTCCTTTAATGGATTGCAGTGTTACTGCTATGCTTGTGATACAGTTGCACCTTGCCTGTACTGGACAGATCCTAAATCAGCACATTGTAATGCCACAGAGCAAATTGATGCTTGGAAGTCGGAAAGAAAGTTGAGGAAAATAGAGAGTCCTATTCACAATTGAATAGACTGCTACTTTTATTGCCATCTGATTTTTGTTGTTCTTTACATTTTGCAGCTAATGGTATATGAAATACACAAGGCCAGTTGTTAAGTATTTTGTCACCTATCAGTCAAATTCACGCTCTGAATTTGATACTTTTGTGCTAAAGGTAGGTTTGAACAAGTGAAGTAGTAGTACTTTAAGGAGGATGATGATAATTATGTGATTCCATGTTTATAATTTTACTATATAATCTTCAACATGTAGTGCATTAGCTGATGATAATCAGCAGCAACATGTATTTGCTTTGCAGAAATAACATTTGATTCTCAACAAGTTTTCTGTTTTATGCCGTATGCAGAAGTATCATTTTTTTTTTTTAATTAATCTTGAAGTCCAGCATCATAGATAAATGAATGAAACCTTGCAAGCGAATGGCTAGGTTTTTATATTTGTATGTCGTCTGAAATTATCTAGTGATTTCATAATTGAAATGAAATAAGAGAAAAATACGATTTTATCCCTACTTTTTGGCATAATTAATTAATTTGTCATTAAATTTTAAAAGTTACATTATTTAATCCTTGTGGTTTATCTCTACTAAACGAAGTTATCGTTCTGTCTATTATTTAAAATTTAAGTCGTTAATAGATCCAATTACAAAGATAAAATAGTGTAGTTTTAAAATATAAGGAAAAAATAATTAATTATATCAATACGTACACAGTCGATGTAAAGTATATATAGGAAAAAATAATTAATTATATCAATACGTACACCAGTCGATGTAAAGTATAATATATATATATATATATATAATATATATATATATTTTTTTTTTTTTTTTTTCTTATTTGTTTTTTGATAGTAACCATAGCTAGAGTCAGCATCCAGGTTAAGTTAAGTTTTTTTTTCTTATTTGTTTTTTGATAGTAACCATAGCTAGAGTCAGCATCCAGGTAAGTTAAGCTGAAATTTGTTTTATTAAAATATTAAATTGAGGTACCTATAAGTTGCGGTTGAGTTGGCACTGCAAAGTCGAGATACCATGGTTTATAAAAAAAGAAAATTCCAAAGGTATTTTAATAACCATAAGTGAGAGTCTATTTTCGAGTATTTTCCGTTATAAAATATTTAATATCAAATTGAAAGTGTGTTAATACAAAAGCAATGATGGTTTACTTGGGAGCTAAGGGTTATTTAGTTGAACAATAAAACTAGTCAAATAATAATCGGGAATGGATTTCCTGATCCTAGTCCTAATGCAATAATCACCGATTCTCTGTTATAAATGCTCCACCAATCACTGCAGAGCTGTTTACATTGCCAATCGCCTCTTCAAACGCTATTTCGTGTCTATGGTTTTATCGCTCGCTCTTGCCTACTCGCTAGTTCAATTTAAAATTGAATTAGGGTTTTCGTCACTGATCTAATCTGCAATATTCATTATTATGTCGCCGCTTGTTCGTTTTGGTAGTAAAAGAAACCAGGGGGAAGATATGGAATATATTCCTGTTTCCAAACGCCGCGCAATTGAAGCACAAAGTTCCTCCAAAGAAAAGGAAGATCGTCTGCTTTGGAGGAGGATATTGAAAAATCAAAGCTAGCTGAAGTAAACCGAGTCTGCTCGTTAAGGCTTCTCAGCTTAAATGGGATCAACCGGCAATAAGTCAAACGGCGCAGATAGTTCAGCAAGAGAAGGAAATGATAGAGCATTTATCAGATAGGAAAACCCTAATGTCTGTTCGTGAATTGGCTAATGGAATTACGTATACTAAGCCTTTGTTTACTGGGTGGAAACCGCCGCTTCAATTAGAAGAATGTCCAGAAAGCAGTGCGATGAAATTCGAAAACAATGGCATATTATAGTTGATGGGGAAGATATTCCTCCTCAAATAAAAAACTTCAGGGAAATTAGATTTCCTGAGCCGATTTTGAAGAAGTTGAAAGCTAAAGGATGTGCAGCCTACTCCCGTTTAGGTTCAAGGACTTCCGGTTATCTTAACTGGAAGGGGCAGGATTGGAATATCTCTTACAGGGTCTGGGAAGACACTTGTTTTTGTGCTGCCAATGATTATGAGGCTTTACAGGAGGAAATTATGATGCCTATTGCGACGGAAGAAGGACCCTTTGGATCGATTATATGTCCTTCTAGAGAACTAGCTAGACAGACTTATGAAGTAGTGGAACAGTTTTTGATTCTATGAGGGAGGCTGGATATCCAGAGTTGAGGCCATTGCTTTGTATTGGTGGAGTGGATACGAGGTCGCAGTTGGAGGTTCAGAAAAAAGGGTTCAGATTGAGGGACGTACTAGCAAAGAAGAAAATGAATCTTGATAAGTCGGTATTTGACATTGGATGAGGCTGACAGGTTAGTGGATTTGGAATTTGAGGATGACATAAGGGAAGTCTTTAATCACTTTAAAGCTCAAAGGCAGACTCTTCTTTTCTCTGCCACCATGCCCACCAAAATTCGGAACTTTGCCAGAACCGCATTGGTAAAACCCGTTACTGTTAATGATGGAGGGGTCGGTGCTGCAAACCTTGATGTGATCCAAGAGGTTGAGTATGTAAAATAGGAAGCAAAGTTCGTTTACCTTCTTGAGTGCCTAAAGAAGACCCCACCTCCTGTTCTGATATTTTGTGAGAACAAGGTTTATGTGGATGACATTCATGAATATCTTCTCCTGAAGGGAGTCGACGCTGCGGCGAATGCAAAGACCAAGAAGAGAGAGAATATGCAATTGTCTCCTTCAAAGCAGGCAAGAAAGATATCTTGGTTGCAACTGATGTTGCTTCAAAGGGTTTGGACTTCCCTAATATCCAACATGTTATAAACTATGATATGCCTGCAGAAATTGAAAATTACATTCATAGAATTGGACGAACTGGAAGGTGTGATAAGACAGGAACTGTAACTACCTTTATAAACAAAAACCAGTGTGAAACAACACTTCTCGATTTGAAGCACCTATTGCAAGAAGCAAAACAGAGGATCCCACCTGTCCTTGCTGAGTTACAAGATCTAAACGCGGATGGAGAGACTATTACTAATGCAAGTGGAGTTAAGGGCTGTGCTTATTGTGGTGGGCTTGGTCACCGTCCCCATGATCGTCCTAAGTTGGAACATCAAAAATCGCAGCAGCTTGCAAATTCAAGAAGGGATTACTTAGTTTCTGGAGGGTATGGAGGAGAAATCTAATTAATTTCTGCAGTCTTCGCTTGATCTGGCATGCAAGTTTTTGTACCTTGTTTCTGCTCAAGTCTTTTAGTGGAACTATTGGGTATCGAGTAAGATTTATGCTTTGGAATACATGAATGTAGTTTGGTATCGAGTAATATGGGATGAATGTGTTCAGATTTTAGTTTGGTAGCTTTTTTATAACCTTATCGCACATGATTTGCTTGAATTATTGTGTTCGTTCAAAAAAAAAAAAATAAATAAATACAAAAGCAATGATAAACTTAAATTTTTAAAAATAAATAAAACTTATTCTCTCTTTATTCAAAAATAGTTAATATATAATTGAAATTACTCTTGCCTAAAATAGCTAATATTAGTTAAAATTTGTTATTATATAAAATGGTTTTTTCTTTTAAAAAAAATTAAAATAAACAAGCAATTTTAAACGGTCGAGTAAATTAATTACTGAATTATTGTTAAATTCAAAATCGAATTATCTGTAAAACAAATCAATCCTTGTTAATTACTACGATCATAGCTTTGCTATTGCTGCTTTTTCTTGTTTTTTCTTTCTTTCTTTCTTTTTTTCGTACTTTGAGTTTTATTTTCTTGTAAAAGTTACGAATTCTTAAATAGGAGTTAAATGTTAATTTGGCCGTGTAGTATTACCAGTAATTCGTAATACTGTTTTATTTTATTTTTTTTATTGTTTTATTTTCTTTGCGCCTAATGTGCTGAAACAACATTTCAACATGAGCATTCTATCCTTCGCTCCCAAAATTGATAAAAGCTATTGTAATCAAGAAGATTCGAATTTGAGACCTCTTAATTTTTATATAAGAGACTAGTTTAACTATTTTTCAAAATTAATTAATTTGTCCCTGTATTTTTTTTAATGTTTTATATTTTTATGTAGCCTAGTCTTTGAATGACATGCGTTGCACATTGACTATACTCGTTATTTCAACTCGTTCAATTTTTTATGTCATTACTTACTTTTACTTATTATTTATACTCATTTTTTTAATATTAAATATTGATATAATTTTTGTCTTGTATTATTTTGATTTTTACAATATTAAACAAAATTTCATATCACTACAAAAAAAAAAAAACGCGTTTTTGTGACCGATTTGTGTTGGTTGCAATTTTGCGACCAACTGCAATGATTGTGATAGTGAATATCTTCCGACCGAAAAAAAAAAAAAAAAAACGCGTTTTTGTGACCGATTTGTGTTGGTTGCAATTTTGCGACCAACTGCAATGATTGTGATAGTGAATATCTTCCGACCGATTTGCGACCAAACTGCGATAGAATTTGCGATGGATTTGCGACCGATACGCAATCCGTCGCTAATTGTAGCTCTAATAATTTCCGCCAGTTTGTTTTCCATTTTGCGACATGTTTAAGATGCATTTGCGACTGATTTTGCGACAGATTTGCGACCATATAGTTATCCGTCGCAAAATTGCTCGCTGCAATTTCAGCACTAAATTTTTGCGAAGGATAAGTGACCGATTTGCAACTAATTATTGGCGACCGACACTGGCGGTCGCAAATCGGTCACAATTTTGCTCTAAATTAAAACTACATCGCAGAATTTAAAATTGTGATAGATTTTTTATATAATCGGTCGCAATCGGTTGCAAAATTTAGGTCTTTAATACTCGAGCGCCCTCCTTCTTCTTTCTTCTTCTTCTTCTTTCTTCTCCTCCTTTCTTCTCCTCCTCTGTTCGCAGCGCCGTTCCCAGCCGTTTGCCGCCTCCTTCTCTGCTCCATTGCAACGCTGGTCGCCAGAGAGTGTTGTCTTCTCGTCGTTCGCAGTCGTCAGTTTAGGAACGTTTCTTTTTTTTTTTTCGTTTTCATTTTTTTTTTGGGAACTTCTATTTTTTTTTTTTTTTTTTTTTTTTTGTTGTTCTTTATAGTTGCATGACAAAAAATAAAGTTATTTCGTAGTTGTTTAGTTTTGTTATTTAGTTGTTTTAGTTGTGATTTAGTTGTTATTTTGCATTGTGTGGGTTATTAAAATAAATGACAAAAGGAAAAAAAGAAAATGTGATACTGTAATGATAATTTTGGAATTTTTTATATTTTAGGCAAAATTATATATGTAATTTAATCAATGTTTAATCAATGCAATTTTATTCCTAGATGCAATTTTATAAGTAAAGTATTCAATTAATGCAATTTTAAAATGTAAAGTGTTGAATTGATTGAAATAAAAATAAAGAGTGTCATAACACTTTTTGTAAAATTTAAATATATCTAAATAATGAAAGAAACATAATAAAAAATTCTCACACTATTTGTTATTTATTGCTAAACACTTGTCAAATTCTTAGTAAAATTAAAGTTGAAGAACATCCTTTTGTAACGTTAGTAAAAGTAAAGTAAAAACAAAAAATTACATCTTATTAATTAATGTTAAAAAAGAACTAAATCAATTAATATGTGTAAGTAAATAAACATAATTATGTAACTAAAATAAATGACAAATAAACATAATTGTGAAATTAAAATAAATGATAAATAAACATATTCGTTTTTTTGTAATTATGAAATAATTCATCTTATTTGTTATTGTTGTTGTTATTATTCTTTTTTTTTTTTTGTTATGAAATGAATGATGCATTTGTGTTGGAGGTCTAGTAGTGGCCATTTTGCCTTTGGAGAATGTTGGTATGATATAGAAGTGTTTATTGAAGTGTGTTTTGATTTGAGATTTGATTGTGTTCAAAGTGTTTGCCGAATTTTTTTTTTTTTTGAAAACCTGAATATATAGAATGCGTACCACTTTACTGATATTATAGTAAGGTTTATATATATATATATATAACCTTAGTATTGATAAATGAACTTAGTGAGTTCATTGTTTTAAGTTTACGATTTAGTTAAGTTTATATCATCATCAATGTTACAATTAATCAAAGATACCTCTTCTTATTGAAATTTTATATTTTCATTTTTTGCCAGAAGCATTTTGTATGGAAATAGGCAATACGAGCTACTGCTAAAAGTGCCTAGAGAAATTATGCCCGTGACCGATATGCTGACTTCACCTATAGGATGCGAAAAAGCCAGTAAGAAGCAGCAGTGCGTGCTTCAAGAGATATGGAAGACTTGGCAAAAAGGCTTGGGGGATCCTGCATGTCAAGAGAAAGCGGGAGATATTTGCCACAAAACAGGCGCAGTGTGAGATGCGGGTGATGGATCAAGACCTTCTTGACACACAAAGCGGATCAATATCTGCTTATAGAGACATCTCGATTATATTAAGTTCAAGTACACGGATATGAAATTGATATTTAATGAAATGAACCACTATATTAATATATCATGCATAAAAATCATTTTACAAGCTAAAAAAACTTGATGGTCGTTGAGCCCACACCGATTGGAGGTGTTTACATACCACTCACACGAACGACCATGATGGAAATATGTTTGGTCGACAGACGTTGCAGTGCGGCGTCAATTGTAAGTAAACAATGAAGAATAAGAATATTTACATTTACCTTCTAGTCGTTGCTTACGTGTACAAAGTTCAATATAATAAAGCTTGCAACTGCATTGATTAATTAATTTATTATTTTCATGAGAACTATACTACAGCTCGCGAGCGTCTTGTTTCTTCTCATGCTGAATCTGAAGCTGAGTCAAGAATTGATGAGCTAGCACTTTATTTGGAGGCTGTAGGGGGCAAGAAGAAGAGGAAAGTATATGGCATTGGGTCTCAGGCATCACAGTTTTATTGCGGCTCAGCATCTAACGCTTCTGCAGCCAGCCTAGGACCACAGCCCGAGCACAGTGCAGAGAAGTTTACTGCATTACGGGCTCGTGTTGATGAGCAGGAGAGACAGCTTCCAGGGCTTAGAGCGCATGTCATGCGGCTGTTCGGTGAGCGTGGTACTGGTACTTCTTCCTCTGATCCTGCGCCTGCTACAGATCGAAATGTTTCGACATCTCAAGCAGTCACTACCATCTCCTGATCCTAATACTGCACACGATACCTTGGTCACTCCTGCTGACACTACAACACATCCAACAGGTACTCCTCCCGGTGATTCGACATTGGATCGTGCAGATGACCAACCTCGTAGATTTGATTTTGGATCTTTTTAGCTTCTTGTGGTTTTTTCAAATTTTTACATTAATAATTACATTTTTATATTGTTATTGAATTGCTTTTATTGTGATATATATAATATATATATATATTATATATATATATATATATATTATTATATATATATATATATATATAATATAATATATATATATGCCCATTTTCACAGGTGTTAAAAAAATTATGATTTTATATATATATATGCCGATTTTCACAGGTGTAAAAAATTATGATTTTATAATAGTATTAAATTTTTTTTTATAATTGTATATTGCGACGGATTTGCAACCGATTTGCAACGAAATATATAACCGTTAAATTTAAAATTGCGACAGATCACCGACCAGCAACTTTCAAAATTTGCGACCGATGTGCGACCACCATTCATAATTGCGACAGACAAAGTCTGCGACCAATTTGCGACAGCGTTTCAGAAGAAAAACACGACTAACGTTTACAACCGATTGTATAATTTTGCGACCGAAATATCGGTCGCTAATTTGCGACCGATTCACTAAATCAATTGCAAATTATTTTGCGAAGAGCACTTTTGCGACTGATGGTTATCGGTCGCTAATTGTGTTTAACGACCGATTTCTTGCAAATTGCAGAATTTTTTTGTAGTGTATGAGATTAATATGAATATAATGGTTAATTAATTAAACACACTTCAATTCAATTTATATCTTTATTTATCTAAGGAAAAAATAAAATCAGTTCCCTAAATTTAATTTAAATTGACACATATATCTCTCCTTCCTAAATAAGTGATTCATACATCCCTAAATAATAAGTTTGTCCAATAAACAGACTCTTCCATACAATTTCTAGGTTGTTTACCATAAGTCAACCTCAAAATAGATGGTCTTTAGAGACAGAAAAAAAAGACATTGTACCCTTACTTAAGTTGTATTTGTTATAACCATTTTTTTTTTAAAGGAAATATCAAAATATACATTCTAAAGAAAAAGAAACATCAAAATGGATGGGCCCAAATTTGAAGCTGGTAAAGATAGAATGAATGTCTTCAACCAGTAACAACCTTACCTCTCACAGGACATCTTCTTTCTTACGGATCTCCTCCATTCTCTTGTTATCTATCATGCCTCTCGTCTCGCCTACTCTTCATTTATGTTCCAACAAATTGAAAAACCTATGATCTACAATGGAATACCATTATCAAAGGCTTCTATATCAGTTCTCAACCACAATCTACAATTGTAGACTAATTACCTAAATTAAATTCATTAATATTTCCGGCAGGTAAATGAAGAGAGAAAAGAGCTGGTAAAAAAACATACTGTAAATAAAAGCAAACATCTGGAGACAACTTGAAGTGATGTGATATCGTCATGAATTTCATTCAAAACATAAGCAACAACCCACAGTCCTGGAAGTACAAAAGAGTACAAGTTAAAAAGTGAAAGCTAAGGAGGTGGATCAATTTCTGTGAACAGTCTCTTTGAATTTCTCTTCATCGAGAAATTGAAGTATGAGAAACACAAGGTCAACCAACTCAGAGATCTAAAAACTCTTACAGATTAACACTTCAAAAACCAACCAAAAACTTCTAAAATCTCACCCTTAAAAACACATCACTAACCAAACAAAAACCAAAATTACATATTAAAAAAATGAATTCAAAAATTTTAACAACGATAAAATAGTCATAAACCAAAACCAGACAAAATCACAGATAAGCATATAATAGAATGACAAAAGAATGATACGGTACCTATACATAGATCAGAGAATTTTTGGAGAAACCAAGAGAAACGAGATGTCATTTGTGGTGTGCTTTCTCTATTTATTCTTTCTCCTTGTTCTCTGTCTCTCTCTACTTATTCTTCTACTTTCTCTCCTTAGCACTTCTGGTGAGCATTTATACAGAAAAAAAAGGCTAAGGATTGGGAAGCAACAAAACTGTAACAATCCAATGAGTGTCCATGTGGAGGGGCTTGTGGAGGCGGCGAAGGGAGAGGAAAGAAGAGGAACGAAGGAGGTGAGACCAGCAGCGACAGACAAGGGAAAGAGAAGGAAGAGAAAAGGCAAAGGGTTTTCCGTTTTAAGAGAAGAGGCAAAGGGCTTTCCCTTTTAAGCGAGGACATTTCAGTCATTCCGTATGCAATTGACGGCAAAAATGCTAAAATATTGACAAAACCATTAATTATTGGACGGACTATAACCTTAGTAATGACTGAATCACTTTTTAAACAGATTTATGTGTTAATTTCGTTATAACTTAGGGACCTATTTTTATTTTTCCCTTTTTATCTAAAATTCATTTTAACTATATATGTATAATTCTGCAGTATCATCTGATAAATACATTTCAATATATATAGATCCATAGATATAATAATAAAATATTATATATATTTTAAAATTAAAATTTTAAACTGTTCATCATTCCACAAATACATATACTCATTTTATTCAAATACATATACTCATTTTATTTAAAAATTAAAAATTTTAAAAAGGTAAAATTTTAAAAAATTTTGAAAGGCTTAATAATATATTATATATATATATAATATATATATATATATAATATAATATATATATATATCCTATTTTTAAAAATTTTGAAATGCCTTAATATCTATATTAATAATATAAAATAATAAATATATAAGAAATAATACCATAAAAATATATATTATACGATTATTTAGACTCCTAAATAAATTCTAAACTAATAGGATATTTTGAGGATTCTCATTCCTATCTAAGTACAATTATAAAATTTTGAAATGCTTAATTATCTATATTAATAATATAAAATAATAAAATATATAAAAGAATAATACATAAAATATATATTATACGATATTAGACTCCTAAATAAATTCTAACTAATAGATAATTTAGGATTCTCTATCCCTATCTAAGTACAATTATCCTTATCCTAGTATATATATCCTAAATTAACCCCTAAATAGGGCTAATTTTGAATTCTCTCAATTCTCAATTTCTGAGAAGTTAACCATTGGTGCGGTGAGTCTGGAACACACCTATAATTCCCGATAATCTCAACCTTTTTCATCTTGAATACTACAGCCTATGAATTGGTCGAACACCATAACATGGAGGGTTTGGACAATAACCATAGCGAAGTGGCTGAACAGGCCGTGATACCTCCTCCATAGACAACCGTCCATCAAGTGGCGGTAGCCTTAGCTCAAGCATACTCGCAGTTCACCACTATGCTAAAGTGCCTTCTCGAGACCCCCATCCAAGTGGTGAACTAATGCCCCTAGGTGGACCAACGAACTAGTGCCACAGAGCATGGTGCGTCTCCACCATCATCTAAGTGACAAAGCCACTCAATATCTGAACAACTCCATGAGGCGGAGTCAAAGGCGAATCTTAGTTGGGTTGCTCCTTATAGTCAGGAGCTGAGCCACACACAACTAGTTATGGATAATGCCAATCTCCGAAATGTTGTCAACGAACTGGTCAGAGAGTGCAGGGAAACAGGAGAGGTGGCAGACTATGGTGTCAGGGAGGACTCCCCCTTATCGGCCAATATCTTGGGTGTGGCTTTCCCCCCAAAAATTCAAAATTTCGACCTTCCAACTCTATGATGAATCTACCAATCCCGAAGTCATCTAGCGACTTTCTGAACCATGATGTACCTTCAAACTAACTCGAAAGATCTTATGTGTAAGGTCTTCCCAATTACACTCAAGGGGCAAGCCCAGGAATGGTATCAGACCCTCAAAACGGGATTCATCCAATCATTCTCCCAATTGGCTGTAACATTCCGAGCCTAGTTCATAACGAGTATACCATCGAGGAAAATCTCATATGACCTGATAAACCTAAAAAGGGAGGATGGCAAAACATTAAGATAGTATGTCTTTAGATTTTAAAGAACGACAATGTAGGTAGAGAACCTCAATGATGAAGTGATAATTAGTGCCATGGCAAAAAATTACAAATATAACAAATTATTCGAGAGTCTGAGTATAAACCCTCCTCTAACCTTTGTCGAACACATGGCTCGAGCCCATTAATACACAAAGCTAAACGAGGCCTATGAGGCTCAACACCAGAGATGATTGCCAAAGGAAGAAAAGCCCAGATACATAAGACACACCTCTCTAATGTGGAGAGGTTCGCCCAGAAGAAGATCGCCTCTCCAACACCCATGAGCTAGCCATGCTGTTAGAGCACCCTACTTAAGAGATAATAGATCATAACAAGACTGAGAGTTCACCCTATTAAACAGGTCACACTCGAAGATACTATCTTGGGTAAGATCATGGAAACAACGTTCAGCTCAACTATCTCAGAAAGATGAAAGAAGATACCTGGGGCTATCGAGACAAGAACAAGTATTGTGAGTTTCATAGAGATGTCGGCCATGAAACTGAATCCTGTTTGCAATTGAAAAAGGAGATTGAACGCCTTATACAAAGAGGTGAACTAAAAGAGTTTGTTGGGCATGTTCAGAAAGAAATCGAGAGGAAAGAAAAATAGACGAGGCAGTGCAATACCTTAGGCATGTTTCACACAATTTTTGGTGGTCCATTAGGGGGTGATAGTAACTCAGCAAGAAAGAGGATGGCTAGAGAAGTTTATTCTATCCTACCCCAACAAAAACCAAACGTGAGACCACATATCTTATTTTCTGAGGCAGATGGCGAGCATATACATACCCCGCACAATGATGCCCTGATAATAAAAGGAGTTATAGAAAATTTATTGGTAAAAAAAGATCCTAGTAGACGATGACAATGTGGTTAACTTGCTAACTATGAAATCTTTACAGCCTTGAAGTTAGACCAGGCAAAGCTGAAGCTTGTCTAAACACCTCTGGTCGGGCTAGCTAGGAAGCCAGTCCTAGTAGCCGAATCTGTATAAATGACCTTAAGGGCATTTAATATCCTATTTGTTAAAAACCATCCAATTTATAATCAAAATTTGCCACCATTTATAAAATGGAAAACGTCAGTTTTTCATCAGCAACAATTACGACTAAAATTGGATTATCTAAATTATAATTTTATAATTTTATAATTTATAATTTTCTACATCTAACTAATACATTTCTAAGTAATTCAATCAATTAAAGAAGTGAAATTAAAAATAGATATATATAATTATTATATATACAAAACTAAAAACAACTCAATATAAAAACTTAATTTCAATAACTAATCTTTTTCGATTGACTTTAACAAGCCCAGCCTCAAAAAAGAAAATAATTATCTAGCTTACCTAATCAATTGCCTAGACATCGTTGCTCGGTAATTGACTCCCGTCCTATGTTCAATCTCTTTCTATGGTTGCACCTTATTCCACCTCCCTCAATTGTTTTGAATACCCAAGTATTCGATGATCTCAATTAGTTAGTGTAGGTTTGAACTCTTCCTTCTCCCACAGTCTTTCTGAGAAAATCAAGTAGCGTAGCTTCATAATTTTCGTTAACAGAGAATCAAAATGGGTTTGCTTTTACATATTTGCGCTTTTCATTTTTTATACGTATGTGTCTTATACCTCTTTCTACGGTATCATACACTTGTACAGCTTTGGGGACCCATAATGCTTTGTATTTTATTTTATATTAACCGAAATTGTGGGCGAGTTGAACAATTGATCTTTACCATTTTAAAAATTGTAAAGACACATATTACGAGACTTTCTATACCTACTATATGTAAATGTGAGAATAAGAGGATAATGGGATTTTCAATAGTGTCTTTGGTGAAATTTGAAATATTCTGAAGTAACCTTAGTCATGACTAATTAAAATTTTTTAATATTTAACTTTAATATTTATTGTAATTTTAAATATTTTAATTAAGAGGGATAATGATAAGCAAAAAAATATAGAAAAGTTTATTTTTTAAAAATATATCTATACATAATTAAGCTTTTGAAAATTTTTAAAATAAAAAAAAATAAAAAAAACCCTTGACCTGAATAAAGTAAATATACAAATTTATTTTTAATTTTTACAAAATAAAAACCTTAATAAAGCCATTATTTTGAGACAGAAAAACTTCGACATAAATAAAATAAATATACAAATTATTTTTAACTTTTCACGAATTAAAAACCTTGACAAATTTTGAAACGAAAAACTTTGACCTGAAAAAAATAAATATATAAATTTAATTTTTTTATGAATTAAAAACTTGAAAAACCCATTATTTTGAAATGAAATAATGAGAGCATTTAATATATAAACTCATTATTTTTTACGAAATATTAAAAACCTTGACATTTGAAACTTCGTGGTTTGAATTTCTTTTTATTGTTTTAAAAATTTTTAAATATGTAAATATTTCAATACAATAAAGTTAAAAAAGTTTCAAACATTGATCGACCTAGATGAAATTCGTTTGAGGATATACTATTAATTCAACTTGATAATGCTATCTTAAGCAAACAGTTGGTACAAACTTATTTATAATTTTATATGTAATCTCCTTTTAAATGCTCTCATTTATATAATGAATGCTTATATAAAACATGTAGTTTATTCATTCTGAAATGTGTGATTATTTTAGTGCCATTTTCAAAAAAATTATTTAGGAAAAATTGACTAAGTGTTTGGAAAATTATATGGATTGTGATATGATGATGTTAAATATAGATTTGTTTAATTAATATTTTCCTCCTATAAATTTTTATTTAATTAAAATTTCTCTCCTATGGCCAAAATAAACAGATATGTATGATGGTATGCTTTTCAAACATAACAATCCTATTATAAGGGTATTACAAACATGAATATGTCAAATATTAAAATATTAAAATAAAGGTATTCTTCAATTTTGCTAATGAACACTTAAAAATATATTATTATTCATTAATTAATCTAACTCGGTAAATAGTTTTTTGGATAAAAGTCGGTGAATAACTTAAATATGTAGGAGTAGATTTTTTGAAAAAGCATGGAATGCTTTAAATATTATGAAAATCAAAGACTAATACACCTGAAATAAAATTTGGAGGGTTAGTAGCCCACTTCATCAAACCAGACACAAAAACAGCTGCTCTAGCTAATGAATGAGTAGTTTGATTCACTGCTTTTCTAAGAAAAGAGA